TTTTTTTGAAAACATTCAAGGTAGGAGAGGATACAACTGAGTCTAGGAGTGCGTTCCAGGGTTGGCAAACCCGAAGGGAAAAGTAATTCCGTCGACGCTCTATACGACTATATTGTTCCTTCAACTTTAAGCAGTTACCTCTGAGCTGCCTGTCGTGGCTAAGTTTCAGCAAATGGCGACATACGTGGTTTGGGTCACTCAGTATCTGATACGCTAATATGAGATCGCCGCGCAGTCTTCGATAACGTCCGCTGAAAATTCCAAGCAACTTCAGCCTTTGTATTCCATTAGGAGACAACTAGGCTCGGCTCTGCCAGTCTTTCCTCTGATTCGGAGTTTCTTTTATCACGATGTGCAGTGCTTGGACGACAGTAATTTTAGCAATACGTCACGACCATTAGAACTTCCCGTTGCAGTCACAGCGTCCTTGCACTGAATGAGCACGGGACAACTGTGGTGCTAGCCATGTGATCGTAAGCAGTCACTTTATTCTTCTTTGCTTCAGCTTCTCCGAAATGCAACGAAAATGGACAGGCACTTGGGGTATAGGATCACCAGGCTTATCGGAGCACAATTTCCACGTCTTCGGTTTCACACTTGATGTAAACGGATACAGTGACATTACGAGACAAAGTGCTGGAACGCGCTCGTGTGGCTGACATCATGGAGTTGTGCTAGGAGATAATGCAGTAGAAATTTTACACTGCAAATATATATATATATATATATATATATATATATATATATATATATATATATATATACTTGAATAGAACCGCGGCTATTCAACCTCCCTATATACGCGGTAGACGCCAAATATATGCGCCCGTTATTTCTGCAATTTCTTCACATGACCAGATAAATTCAGCTCCAAATCAACCGCAATGTATCCTTGATACATCAACCTTCCTCCTTTCACAAGGTATAACGGCGATCGCAGATGGCACACTACCCCTACTCGCAAGGTTATTAGCAATTGACTCATTCCTAATGCGTCCACACATATTTACTGCTCACATAATCCGCGATTACAATGACTCACACAATAGTGACACGAACACGGATCCCACCATTTACGGTATGTAATCATTACTTTTGATTACCACCAGATGGCTTATCAACAAACGGTATTTCCTAAGCAGACTTGCACATTTAAGCGAGCTGCAAACAATCCTCGTTACCGAAACGTGGTACCCCGCTAATATATTAGACTGTAACTCAAGCACCCCACCTTTAACACCTTTTTCGTAAAGATCGCTGTAAAAGAAAAGGTGGAGGGTGCTTCACGTAACTCAATCACATATGTATAGCTGAACGGTTTGAACATCCACTACTGGCAAATATCGCTGATTCTCTCTGGTTCTCCGTCTCAGGAGCCTCGGTTTACTTGCATCTATCCGCAATCCGCCAAATTCATCAACCATGAATGTTGTCTGTATCCCTTCAGTCTTCGATTTTGCATCGGAATTGACATCCGAACAAAAGCTAATTGTGGCTGCTATCAAACTACCGAAGATACACGGGTCTTCCCAGACCATATTGTCTATACACAGAGCCTTCATTTATTCAGTCAGAGTCGGTTGGACACAGTAGGTTACTATACCAGCTAGGTTGACGAACACATTGGACGTGATGTTTACAGTGGATATGGCCAATGTACAGAGAGACATTTCGGAGAACATCCCTGGTAGCGACGGCAACATGATACTCTTAACCTTCACCGTTAAAATGGCCACCCAACAAGTAGCTCATTCCTACTACACCAGCCGCAGTATTAACTGGGAACCCTTCTGTCAAATAATCCGGTCCTGCGATCGGGATGCCATCTTTCTCTTTACCAGTGCATGCACAGCCGTGGAGCACTTCTATCAGTAAGTTCAGTAAGCCATAAGCCTCGTTGCTACACAAGAAAAATGAATCAGGGGCGTTTAAAATGATGCAGCCGAACGTTCGATTAGTCAGAAATCCAACAAACCGATCGCGCACCAACAAAGTATAGGATATTTTACAATGATTTCACAGATGCACCGACTCATCTCTGAAATCAAGCACTTACAATTAATGAGAGGACACATGGAGATCAAGCAACCCTACGAATGACAGGTAAAACAAAAGAGCTGGTCAGATTTCTCCAAACGATTCTCATTGATTACTGAACTGGTGGACGACATCCAGGCGCCATTTGTGAAGCATTTAGCTCGTTCTCCTCCACCAAATTGATCTTTGACACTAACGCTAGAGCCACACTACGGCTCCATCTAAAGTGCTATTGGTCTCCGCAATGTCCACCAAGCAACACATTCTATTCAACCGTGCTCAATTCTGGAAGCTGTAGGCATCACCCCATCCGCCAGGAAACTCTGAGGGACTGATATGCCACCGTATCTTTTGTCTATGTTTACCGCTTCACTGGAATCCAAGTACTTTATAAATCAATGGAAAACTTCATTTAGCAGCCCTCGTCACAATGGCTGCGCAAAACAGGAGATTAACAACTCCAGCCCAAGCCATAACACTCCTATATTAGCCGGATTATTCGTGAAATTGGTAAAAAAGTGTGAGGCAGTTGATCAACTCACTGGACCTGATGGATGGGTCTTAAAATGGTTTCCTTGACGAACGCTCATACAAATTCTGGTAGCTGCATTACCTGAACTACATACCAGACTCCATTGAATTAAAAATATGCCATATTAATTCTGTGTTTGGACATGCAGAAAGCATTTGATCAAGTGCCTCACAAACAGTTACCCATTCAGATAGATTTCTTTGAAGTCTGGAACACATTTATGGGCTGGCTATCATCATACATGAACGGTCCCGATGAAGTAGTCACCTTAGACGACTATTGCTATTTTCCGCATCCAACTACCAGTGGGGTCAAACAAGGATGTGCGCTCGGTATCGTAATTTCTTTTTTTGCGTCAAGGATTGCCGTTTGGTTAACAAACATAGCGTGCCGGTTTTATTTGTTGATGAAATAAAATTAGCTCACAAGTACCGACGAGTTGAGCATCCGAATGTACTACCACTCATTCAAGTATACATCCATTCGCTTGATACTTGGCACGGCAAGTGAATGATGACGTTTTGAGCACAATAGTTAAGTATCATATGTTGCGGTCGCTTGACACCCGAAGTATCACGTAACAGTGGACGCAGCTGTGTACAACAGTCTGCCCGTGATCTTGACATCAAATATTCTTGTATCTTCATGTTTTTAGAACAGATCGAGTGCCAGATAGCACGAGCCAGACAATCCTTCGCTAGCATCTCTTATAACATGCATACAATCACAGCTACAGTTGAACTATTTAAAATTCCTAATCGTCCTACCCTGGAGTATCGCAGCATAATTTGAGGCAATAGGAGAAAATAACACAGAACATCGATAGAAAGTCTTCAAGGGTTTTTACTAAGCATCTATTGGGAAAATTTCACTCATCTAAACTCTCGGAATGCGATGCCGACAACTCCATCTCGATCCGCTTTGGTTGCGAAGACTAAAAGATAACTTGAGACTGCTACACAATCTGATTCATGGTAATACCAATTGCAATCGATTCAACTTAACATTGAAGCACGAGTCTACGTGAGACCTAGATAACAAAGACCTTAACCTGAGTATACCATGATGCAGAACAAGTTTGCGGTTTAACTTCCCGCACACCATATATGCTTCTTTGTTGAATTGGTTGCCATTCACCATCAGGTGGTACGAGACTGTGCAATCCTTGTGCAATAAACTACGAAGCTACTTCTATCTGGACATGATTATGCCGCTTTTTCGTGGGGAATATCAGTTGAACATCCACGCAATGAAAGCCCAGATAACGTCTAATGGGTGCAATACCACCACTGCACGTGTTGTTATTAGTCCTTAGTGTCTACAGCGTACTCAAACTGCAAATTTGCCTCCTACCATCGTACAAGAGAAACATTTGGGACAAATACCTTGCCAGGAATGCAGACAAATACAAGAAGATAACTTGACATTGCTCTTGCAAGAACCTGACTTCATCTGTGCGTGTATGTTCTGTGCCAAATATTGTCACAGCTTCTCACTTGACTATTATCCTTATCTTTATGCGGTATATTGTTTCGAGCACAGGCAATACTAACCTATTGCCTAAATGTGTCACCTGTACTGTGCGCTTTGGACCGATGAACAATGAATAATGACCAATGATTTATCACAGGTAAAATGCATGTGCTTGACAAATCGCGTAGAATTTATGGAGTAATAATTAAAATTTGCACGTTGTTCTAGACGACGAATCCAGTTTCCTCACCACATTTGCTACACCGTTCGGACGTTATCGTTGGCTGCGATTACCGTTTGGCCTGAAAGGTGTCTAGCGAAATTTTCCAAAAGCGTTTGGTGCAAGCAATAGATGATTTAGATGGCGTAACCTGTGTGGCAGATGACGTTCTGATTTACGGTTCTACCGAAGAAGAGCATGACAGCTAAGCTACACCGGTTCCTGAGGCGTTGCGTGCAAAAGAACATCAAGCTAAAACGCGAGAAACTAGAGCTGCGGAAAGAGGAGGTGATTTTCCATGGGCATGTGTTAACATCCGACGGAATCAGGGTTGACCCAGGGAAGATTAAGGCGATACAAGAGATGCCGTCCCCTGACGATGTGAAGGCAGTCCATCGCCTAAACGGTATGGTGAATTATTTAAGCCGGTTCCTACCAGGACCCGCTGATATCATGACTCTGATTAGGCAGTTAACTCACAAAGGAGTAAATTGGAGCTGGGGGAAGGAACAGGATTTGGCTTTCGCAACCATTAAGAACCTTATCAGTAATGCGCCCGTACTCGGATATTACGATTCCAGCACACCCATTGGAGGTACAGTGTGATAGTAGCCAGAGTGGAATAGGTGCTGTACTGTTGCAGAACGGAAGACCATTGGATTTCCGCAGTCGAGCACTCACAGAGGCCGAGAAGCGGTACGCACAGATCGAGAAAGAGATGCTGCAGTTGTCTATGCCATGGAGCGTTTCAATGATTATACTTTTGGAAGAAAGACAACCGTGTACACTGATCATAAGCCGCTGGTGTCGATAGCCACTAAACCACTGAATAACGTTCCTCGCCGTCTGCAGCGTATGCTTATCCGGCTCCAAAAGGATGACATTGACATTGTGCACACACCTGGCACACAGATGTTCATCGCGGACACCCTGTCGAGAGCACATCCGCCAGTGGCCGAACATCAGCTAGAAGAGATCGAGACAGTTAGCATGGTGCAGCATCTGGCAGTGACAGAAAACCGTTTGAAAGACATAAGGCGTTTCACGGAGGAAGACCAAACTTTTGCAGCTTTGCGAGACGTTATCCTCAGTGGGTGGCCAGAAACAAAGAAGCAGCTCCCGAAGGAATTAACACCCTACTTCAATTTTCGGGACGAACTCACTGTCTGTGACGGTCTGTTGTTCAAGGGAAGTCGAATCCTAATCCCTTCTTCTCTCCGAAAGGAGATGCTGGAGCATGTCCATCGCGCTCACCTGGGTGCAAATTACACCATTAATCGAGCAAGAGAACTGATGTTCTGGCCAGGAATGACAGGTCAGATCAAGGATCATGTGTCTAACTGTGAGGCGTGCCGTTCACACGACATTCGGCAAACGAAGGAACCGATGATGCTGCATGATGTTCCTTGACCGACCGTGGCAATAGGTAGCAGTGGATCTATTATGGGACAACGGAAAGGATTACTTACTCACGGTGGACTACTATAGTGATTACTTTGCAATCGATTTACTCACCACCACGACCACGGAGGCAGTAATCAACAAACTCAGATGTCAATTCGCACGGCACGGGATACCGGAGGAGCTAGTCTCGGACAACGGTCCCCAGTTCAGCAGCAGGGCATTCCAGGCTTTCGCAACCAAATGGGAATTCGCACACCGGCAAACCAGTCCCTATCACAGTCAATCAAATGGGAAGGCAGAGTCGGCAGTGAAGCAAGCCAAGCGACTATTAGCGAAGGCTAGAGATACTCGGGAGGACCCATACCTCATGCTACTGGAGAGTCGCAACACTCCTTCAACGGATATCGGCCTGAGCCCAGTGCAGCGCCTATACAGTCGAAGGACCAGAACTGTGATGCCTGCATCCGCAACACTTCTGCGCCCCGTCACGCCACAACTTGAGAAAGTACAGAACAGTTTGAAAAGGCGAATGGCTACTCAGAAACGGTACTACGACAACGGCGCACGGGAATTACCTGAGCTGACAGTGGGGGAAGAAGTATGGGTTGAACCAATTCCCGATGGACAGGATCGGTGGAGAAAAGGAGTCGTGGCTGCGAAAGTCGGTGAAAGGTCATACGAAGTAAATGTTGGAGGGAAGAAGCTGAGAAGAAACCGAGTACATCTGAGGCGATGTCCGAAGCGACAGCATGAATCAAGGACAGAGCGTTATACTGCGTGCGGCAATGAGGCGACATAGGCAGATCCAACAAAGAGGACGCGGAGGGGTAAAGTGTATGGACTATTTAGCAAAGTACAGCAGCAAGAACATGAAAAAGGGAGGATGTGATGGGAGTATACACTCGAACGAACGTGCGGTGTCAGCCCAGCAAGGAAGCCGTTAGGCTGCCGCAAGGAAAGGCGGCAGCTGATTGGACGTGCACACGTTTCTCGCATGCACGCTGATTGGCCAACAGCTGGAGTTTGTTTGACTGAATCAAAGGAAAAATGTCATGCATTCACAAAGGTCGTTAATTATGGATCCAAGTAGCTGTATATACCGATATGTTTCACTCGCCCGATGCCTGCGTTTTCGCCTGGTCCTTTTGTTTGCAGAGTATACGTTTTGTCCCTGAAGGACCGACTTTTACATGAGGCGCCTTCAAGTCTTTGATCATCGTTGTCTGAGAAGCATTGCTGACGTCGGATGACACCAGCGTGTCCGCAACGATGATGTGCGTAGGCAAGTACTAGGTAGTGATAATCATGCTAGCTCCCTAGAACAACAGATAGCACTGAATAAGTTGTGTTGGCTCGGGCACGTGCTACGTATGCCTGGTCACCGCTAACCTAGAAGGGCCTTGTTCAGTCTACCAGGTGTAGGGTGGCGCAAGGCTCGTGGTGGACAGAAGTTGACTTGGCGGCGTGAAATGAAGTCACTGACCACCAAACTGGGTGCCGTTGGTCCGTCTCGCCTTCTGGGCTGGTGTCCACGTGACGCGCCTTGTGCTTGGCTCGAGACTTTACAGGACATGGCTCGCAACCGACACCAGTGGCGCGTCTGCTGCGGTCTCGTAGTCGGACTGCTTGTTTAACGTGGGGGTAGTGCTGAGTTGTCTGCCGGGTGATGTCTGATTATGACGTGGGTCAGTGAAAGTCGCAAGGAAGCTGTCTCGCCGATGCCGTGTTATCTTTGCACGATAACCAGCTGTTTGTGATGGTATGTTGTCTACACTAGGGGTAGGCGACTTGACCCTGAATGTTTGCTTAGAGCCTTAAGGTTTTCGGGTAAGTCCCGCTTCTCTCCCTCTTCTTATTCTTTATTTCAAAGGTCTTCATGGTTGTATGGCAGCGAAGCATCGGTGCAAATAGCTGATGTACCGCTGTTGATGATGATGATAATGATGATGATGATGGGTGTTAGACAGGTATGCATCTTGTCAACATTCACATCATGCGCAGCCACACCGGAGATATCAAACAACCAACATAGAATTTACGGGAAGGCATACAGGCAAAAGTTGCATGGAATATCAAACAGAATAAGAGAATTGAACAAATCAAATAAAGTGGAGTATCTTTTATCCAAATTTAAAAGATAACGATTAACTGCAAAATGGTATAGCCTAACTGCGGTGAAGGATCATCATGAATGCAACATCAACCCCAGCATGACGATCTATATATATATATATATATATATATATATATATATATATATATATATATATATATATATATATATATATATATATATATGTATATATTTCAGGTGCGGGCCATGAGCTATGCCATTAGGGACCACTACAGAAGCGACGACGGGTCCTACAGAGAATTACGGCGAGCCGGCACAGCGTTTGTAGGCACGCTGAATTCGATTTACTAACCGCGTGCTTGCATGCTAAGTCTCTTTATTTCAGATGGTGGGTTTACAGTTTTTACCTTAATGCTTTTCTTTCTCATATAAATATCTCCCTGTACTCTATTTCATTAACTTGCACACATCGCCTAAGACAACTGTATTCGATTTCCATAACATTTTTGCGTTCGTGGCATTCCGTGAACTATACTTTCTGACCTCGTGCACTTAGCTAGGATTTGTTTGTAATCAACTTATTACATATGCTATTTAATTAAGGTTTATATCACCGTTTCCTTATGCATTAATCGAGTTTTTCTCTCTTTCTCTCTTTCAAGTGTTTGGCTGTTGTTTGATATTCCCGGTGTGGCTGCGCTTGATGTGCATGTTGACAAGGTGCCTACCTGTCTATTACCCACTACATCCTTCATACTGGCTCCAGGAGACAGTTGGTCGTTGCTGGAGGGGACGGGGTGCACGGTCCTTGTGGCCGTGCTAGGCTCAAAGAGCGGTTCCATGCACTCAGTGTGGAGCGGACTACGGTCCAGCCACCGCCTTGTGTTCGCTTGATTCCCCAAACACAGCGTGCTTGTGTTTGCCTGTGAAGGAGTGTGGGCCGGCTCCGTTGATGAAACGTGGCTCCCATCCACATGCCTCCCGGTCTTATTCCTTCGGGTTTACACTGGATATGGGGTATGTGGTTGGAGCTGTGGGTGGTGCAGCGCAAGCCATCCATGGTCCCTCTGTAGGCGCAGGCGTCCTGTGGCTTGCCACAGTGACAGGCAAATCCGAAACCGGATGCCGCCAACCATATATATATATATATATATATATATATATATATATATATATATATATATATATATATATATATATATATATATATATATATGCAATCTTTTTAACCCACCTCCAGCTTCTGATAACTTGGGAGTTTAGTGTCGACTGTGACACAGTGAGCTTTTTATCCGAGAATCGAAGGCAGCGGCAGCATTCGGGAAGCTAGAGTACCCAGTGTGAAACAACCATCAGCTTACCATTGGCAGGAAGCTGATGGTGTACAAATCCATGGTGCTGTCCATTCTTCTATACGGCAGTGAAACGTGGACGATGTACCAGCGGGATGTGCGATTTCTCGTGCGGTTCAATCAGCAGTGTTTGCGACGGATTCTGAGCATCGGATGGGGCGATAGAGTTGCAGACACAGAAGTGTTGCGCCGAAGTGGAATGTATGCAGTGGACTGCATACTTTTGCTGAGACAACTGAGGTGGGTCGGTCATGTGTGGCGTATGGATTCGACGCGGATACCGAAGCAGCTATTATATGGTCAGCTGTGTATTAGGAAGCGGCATGTGTGGAGACTAATGTTACCTTACCAGGACATGAGTAAAGTGAGCCTCTCACGTTCTAATGTTGATTGTAGGTTATGGGAATCGAAAGCGGTTGATCGGCGGGAATGACGCGATCTGATCACGAAGGCCCTTGCCGAGTTACAAGAGAAATCCCCCATGCATGCAGAGAAGAAACGGCAAGTGTGGAAGCTGCGAGCACCGATGGGTTTTACTCCATCGACATCGAGCGCATGGTGCTGTAGCACATGTGGTAGCGAGTGCTTGAGTCAGGCAGGCCTAGTGAGCCATGAGCGAGGCCACTCGGTGCCAACGTCGAAACGACGACGAGTCCTGCTGAGAGCGTAGACAGAATCGGCGCAGCGTTTGTAGGTACGCTGCATTCGCTGTACTAACCGCGTGAGGGCATGCTGAGTCTATTTATTTCAGGTGGTGGGTTTTCAATTTTGTCCTAATGCTTTTCTTTCTCATATAAATGTCTACCTGTACTCTCTTCTATAAACTTGCGCACGGTCCTTAACCTACTTTAGATAACTTTGATAACATTTTCGTGCTTCTGGTATTTTTAAAATGAACGTTCTGACATCTTGAACTTATCGCGCATTTGATGTTAACCAATTTATTTCATATGCTAATTTATTGATGAGTTATCCCACCGTATCTGTATGCAGTATTTCATTTATTTTATTTGTTATTGCCGTTTCAAGTGATTGGCTGTTGTTTGATATCCCCGGGGTGGCTGCGCTTGATGTGCTTGTTGACAAGGTGTCTACCTGTCTATTACCCACTACCTCGTCCACACTGGCTTCTGGAGACAGTTGGTCGTTGCTGGAGGGAAGGGGGTACACATACTTGTGTCCGTGTTAGGCTCGAAGAGTGATTCCATGCACTCAGTGTGGAGCGGACTACGGTCCAGCCACCGCCTTGTGTGCGCTTGTTTCCCAACTACAGCGTGCTTGTGTTTGCCTGTGAAGGAGTGTGGGCCGGCTCCGTTGATGAAACTTGGCTTCCATCCATATGCCTCCCGGTCTTATTCCTTCGGGTTTACACTGGATATGGGGTGTGTGGTTGGAGCTGTGGTTGGTGCAGCGCACGCCACCCATGATCCCTCTGTGGGCACAGGCGTCCTGTGTCTGGCCACAGTGACATGCAAATCCGGAACCTGATGGCGCCAACCGTACATAAGTTTATAGGAATAGAAATCCAGCCACGCACAACTCTTGTATAACGAAACCAACGCTAAGAGCAACGTAAAACA